GTTGGCTTGAGAGTTAGATACTGGCTCAAAAATGTCAGGCTCTTTCGAACCGATTTTTATCTTAGCCTAAAAGACTGTAATGTGTTAGAACATATTCTGAAATGATATGTTCAATTTGTGAATGTGTTTGCGTTCATATTCGTCAACTTGTTGAGAAACAAGAAGATGTTCAAACTATAATGATGGTAGACTTAATATAAATCAATCTACTTTTTTTGGTCATGAGAAAATATTTTTTATGATTCCCCTTCACATACACAACGAGTTGTACAGGAACGTGCTCGAGTACATCATTTCAAGAAAGAAAGATTCAAATGAATACTCAGATTCATGTTAACTAAAAACAAGTACTTTTTAAATTATAATTATCTAACANTTGAACTCTCCTTTCGAAAGTTATCGTGTAAACGGCCGGCCGGACATACTGACCGATTCTAGAGTGTACTCACTTTTTGAGTACACAATCACTTTTTGAGTACACAACAAGTACTTTTTAATTTATAATCATCTAATATATATATATATATATAAAACATTTGGTGATATCACAATCTAACAAGCATGTCACTTTAGTAGAAGTATTCTCTAGATAAACATTTGACTGTAGTACAAGAGAACGATCATAAGTAATAGAATAAAAAGAGATCAATATTTTCGTTCTCTTGAAATAAATTTTACAATTAATACTGATAATATTTATCATCTTTTTTGTATTATTTCTTATTATCTTTTACTATGTTCTGTTTCTCTTGTCTTTTCATCTTCCCTATGATCAACGGACGAGTTTTTTGTGTTCTTATGATTTTGATTTGAAAAAACTAAGGTAAATAACGCAGTATCTACAATAAATAAATATTTTTACAGAAGTCATTGTTTATTTTTTTTTATTTTGAAAGATTAAGTTCCTATTGGTGAATATCAGTTGTTGTTTGATTATGTTGAAAATTATCTCTCATATAGATAATGGCACTCATAAAAATAAGTGATACGCCTGCATATATATCTCTGAAATATTAAGTTTTATGAAAAATTGAAAGATATACTAGCATTAAAAGAAAATTCATTTTTGTGAAAATACTTTGTAAAATAATGTCAGTTTTTAGTTAGATATATCATATTGTCTTTCAGTAGGGGTGATGCTCTGATAGATTGAAGCAAAATAAGAAGAGTATCTATCTGAAAAATCAACTTCGAAGAACCCAATACAGATGAAATTTATATTCTAATTCATTGATAATCTTTTTATTTATTATCATTGTCAATATTGAAGAAGAATAATTATAATAGATATATTTATATGATTTATGATGTTCTAGTAAATGGTATACTTTAAATCAATAGAAACGACCATTTCTACATAGAAAAAATACTTCGAAATTTGTCATATTTCGTACAATATATTTTTTTTGTTCAAATTTTTAGAGTTTTTAGTGAACAAATTACTTTAAAAATATGCATTATGATAGACGGAATATGACAACATCATTAATGATGATAAATGTACACCAAAAAAGTGTTTTAAAGGAAACAAAATTTCATTTCTTGACAATCAAAGAAGTGTTTGAAGATATTCGCTTAAAGTGTAAGAAGAAAATACCGAATAACTAAAAGATATTTTCAAATGTAGATTTTTCTAAATTTATTCTTATGTGTCTTTCCCCAGTATTATTAATTTTATCTATAAAAGACTTGTCTTAACTAGAAAAGAGATATACAAAATTATTAATCTTCAATATTTATCACAATTAATATAATAGCTTAGTTTCATAATAGTTGGAAAAACTTAAATCATGTACAATCACGTGTAGCATTTACTAGATCTCATTTTTGTTTAAATATGCTTATCTAATATATAAATGGCTCATAACTTAAATTTAAAACAAAATTTTTCACATTGAGTTTCTCTTCACACCAATTACATATCTTTCCTAAAAATAAATAAGAATAGTTTTGCAACAAAACTTGATTATAACACAAAGTTAGTTTCCATTGAAATTATCCAAGATATATTCAACATCGAGCACATGATTGGTATTATCATAGTCTAACCATTTTCATTTATCGAACAAATTAATATTTACTTCAGAAGTCAATCCTAATATATTTAGTACAGAATTCATTCTTAAAAAGATGAATTCTAATGTCTACGTAGTAGACAACATGATACTATTTTGATCTTTTTTGTCTTTCTAAACTTGAACTATTTCCTATCTAGTTGATATATATCTTTTTTTCAATCACGTGCATACCAGTAAAAGTGCTGCTATCATAATGAAATGTAGAAATCATACCACAATCAATTTTTTGAGCATACATGTCAATAAGTAAATATATACACATAGCTACAAATGTTGACAGTGTTCTTTCCTTTTCTTTCTAAGAAGTATGTTGCTCTAGCAAGTCAACGTTGCCATTAATCTGCACATTTTTCGTCATCGCAACATGTGTTTCATCAGAATCGATTATTTACCTCTTCGTAATTTGAAATAAGCAACTTTCCTCGGCGATGGCTGCAGCATGACTTCTGTGTTGTCTGTACACATGTCATGTAAAAAATACATCATACAAGAATGCAGTGCGTAAGCATAGAGAACATATCATGCCTTACATACTGCCAAGAAAGATTGTTTATTACAACTTACCAAGAGATTAAAGATGAATGGTCATAATAGTGAAGAAGCAAAACGATTATTTCAACGTTTACCAAAAACCATTGTTCCAACGCATTATGATTTAACAATACAGCCACATCTTGATAAATTTACATTTAATGGAGATGTTAATATACATTTAAAAGTTAAAGAGCCAACAAGTAGTATTGTACTTTATGCAACTGAATTAGAAGTTGATAATGCTAAAGTAAAATCAACTTCAAATGATGAACAAACAGGTAAAATTGATTATGATAAAGAAGGTGAACGTATAACAGTCAATTTCGATAAGACACTTGAAACAGGTGATTATGAACTAGCATTAAAATTTGTTGGTGAAATAAATAATCGTATGCGTGGTTTCTATCGAACTAAGCATACAGTATTTGATGGTAGTGACGTTCGTTACGGAGCTAGTACACAATTTGAACCTGCTGATTGCCGACGAGCATTCCCATGTTGGGATGAGCCAAATTTTAAGGCTACATTTGATATAACATTAATTACACCGAAAAATCTTCGTGCTATTTCAAATATGCCGATTAAATCAGAAGATGAATATGGCAATGATAAAGAATGGAAAATAACAAAATTTGATCGTACACCAATCATGAGTACATATCTTGTTGCTTATGTTGTTGGTGAATATGATTATGTTGAAACAAAAGATTCCAATGGTGTTAGTATGAAAGTATATACACCAGTTGGAAAAAAGAACACGGACAATTTGCATTAGATACTGCAGCAAAAGTTCTTCCATTTTATGCTGATTATTTTAATATCAAATATCCAATTGCTAAAGCTGATCAAATTGCTATTCCTGATTTTGCTGTGGGAGCAATGGAAAATTGGGGCTTAGTAACTTATCGTGAAACAGCACTTTCAATTGACCCAAAATTTTCATCCATGGATACACGACAACGTGTAGCTATTGTTGTTGCTCACGAACTTGCACATCAATGGTTTGGAAATTTAGTAACTATGGATTAGTGGACTGATTTATGGCTTAATGAAGGTTTTGCTACATGGATTGAATATTTAGCTGTTGATAAATGTTATCCAGAATTTGATATTTGGACACAATTTGTTGCCGATACATTTGCAAGATTTCTTATTCCAGATGCTTTGAAATCATCACATCCTATTGAAGTACCTATTGGTCATCCAGCTGAAATCGATGAAATTTTCGATGCAATATCGTATTCAAAAGGTTCATAAGTTATTCGTATGTTACATGA